CAATGAACTGCCTTACTTCTAATAACCAAGGCGTACTGTACTACTACCAGTAACACCAGCCTTCAAGCCATTGCCAGGAAACCTCCGCTGGACTTATCGATTAAACAAAAAATGAATCTACAAAGAGCTAAATGGGGAGAGGCGATCGAACTCAATCATCAAAGAATTACACATAATGAAATTGAATAGCGTTTTCCATACTGTAATACTCACCATTATAATACAGCTGTGCATTATAAAGATAATGAAAATGGGATTGAAAATATCAAAGTGTTTACGGATGGATCAAAACACGATAACATGGTTGGATGCTCCTTTGTAGTTTACAAAAATGAAGAAGAAATATACCATAGAACCATCCGCTTAGATAACAACTGTACAGTTTTTCAAGCTGAACTGTGTGCACTTTACATATCCAAATAATGGCCATTTTATTTACAGGATAAAGTTAATGCTAACATATGTACAGATTCTTTATCTGCTTTTAATATGATTATTAACACCAATTTACACCCCATTGCGGAAGAGATTCGTAGATTAATAAATCATTCAAATTTTAATATCACCATATCTTGGACACGAGGTCAAGTCCATCAAGGCACAATGGGAAATGAGAGGGCGGATACCTTGGCAAAGCAGGCATTCATTACCAATAGAATATGATAAATACAGTATCGGCTCAATTAAAAGACTATTATGGGAAAACACCATCCAAATTTGGCAAAATGAGTAGAAACAAAACAATACGCATATTACTTATGAATTTATACCAGATCTAAAAAAATTTTACTCTTTAGAATGGTTTTACCCGGACCATACTACAACACAACTTATGACAAATCATGGCAAATTTGCTAGCTATCTAGCAAGATTTACAAACCGAAATGACAATCAATGCTCTACATGTCTTGCAATTGATGGTTCAAAGCATTATATCTATCTATGATTGTATAAGATTTGAATGGAAAAGGATAGAACTAATAAGTATACTAAAGAATAATGGAATCAAATGGCCGTGTAAACTATCTGATATCTTGACTAATGGGAGCACTTATAATGCTTTTGTCAGTCTTGCCAAACAAATTTATAAGATCAATAACCAAATTATCTATAACTGAGATGTACCCTATTGTAATAAATCACATTATTGATAAATCAAATATTGAAATTAATATTCACATAAATTGAACAATAAAATTGTTGTATTGGATGGCATTTATACTTATTTTCATGAATATCACCT